AACACACTACATACTTGAACAACAATGTATGCTTCATATACTTAATTTGAAATTAAACAACATACATATAAATATACTTAATTTCAATAATTAAACAACAATGTATTATGTAGTTATACTTATTTCGCATACTTGAACAACAATATAGTACATAAATTGTATATTACAAACATAAATTCCCAAAAAACATGAAAAACAAGTAACATAGTTAAATTGAACACATACCTCAAATACGGTAAATTCAATGCGTAAAAGTGTTAAAGAAAGAAGGAGGAACAATTTTTAGTGAGTATGATGAAGATCTAAGCAATGGGAAGTGATGAATTTGCTGCAAATATGGAGGATTGGGCGAGGTACTGTGTGCGGGTTAGGGTTTGGGAATTGGGGGTTTTTTGTTTTTTTGAAGAACAATGAAAAAAATAGAACGAAATTGCCTGAAATACCCGATGCAAAAACGCCAACCAGGCTGGCTCTTTTGGTACAACAGTAAAACGCCAACCAGGCTGGCGTTGTTACCCTGGCCAAATTTTTTGAAAATTTCAGTCAAGGTAAAACGCCAACCAGGCTGGCGTTTTTGCCCTGACTGAAATTTTTTTTAAAAAAAATTGGCCAAGGGGCTACCCTGTATGGCGTTTACCCAGGAAGCTTATTTTGGTAGATAGGTTTGCCAAGTGTCTAATATAAAACATTGTTTCTCAATTAGGCTTATTTTGGAAAATTTTCCGAGAGATTCCCCTCAAAATTAGATTAAGTGGCATGCTTGTATGACATGACAAGTGAGTAAGGCTATGCATGAGTTTTTATTTTATTTTATGAAACACTACCATAACTCCACAAGACCGATATAACATAACTTTTCCTTGATCTATTTTAGGCATAATATAAAAAAAAAATGTTAGTAGATGAAAAAAAGGGAAATTGACAACAAAGTAATATGAGTACGTAGTAATAGCCACATTCACATTTATTCAAAGTACGGATTAACGTTTTAAATAGTCGTAGCTCGTAGGAGATGTAAAATGAGATCAAGTGACTCAAGTTTTTCCAAAATGATAAATAGGGATTTTTGGGGATTTTTTTTTAAAGAATTAAATAGCAAACTTTGTTGATTAGAGATTCCCTTCAAAATAAAATAAAATATCTTAATTGACTTTTTTTCTCTTTTTTTTTTTTTTTTTTTTTTTGGAAAATTTGTCAAAAAAAACCTTTTAAATGCCTCATTTTGCAAGAAAAAACCTTTTAAACGATTCTTTGTTTAAAAAAACCACCACAATCACTTTTTGTTTGTTTAATGAAACCTGGGCTCTCTTTTCTGGCATTGACTCCCAATTTCAGGCGTTGACCCATGGGTTTTCCTACTTGCTGCCACTTATTTTGATAATTGCACTCCCCCTTTTATTTTCCCCTCTTATTTTCCCTCCAAAGAATTTCCTCTGTATTCTCTCTCTCCTTTCCTCCGTGAATGCTTTGCAACACTATCACATCAAATTGGGTTTTTTTCTCTCTCTCTTTCATCTCGCCATTAATACTACAAGCATAAATTAAGGTAAGTGTGAAATCATCAGTTCTATACTAGAAATAGTAAAAAAAAAATTGGGGCTTTTTTTAGACAATTGAAAAAACTCATTTTCTTACCATTTCAATGGCTAAAGGAGGGGGAAGAAAGGGGACGCTTGGACGCAAAACAAGGTTTCCCAATTACGTAGTAAAGTACAAACCCAGGGTTTATCACAAAAAATCGACAATAAATAAACTCAATTAACCTAATTGTTGTTGGTTGTTTGATGATTTTGAACTGTGATTCTTAAATAATACATGCAAACTGGATTGGATTATTGAATTTTTTTTACTGGAATTGTTCATTTGTTTCTCTGGAATTTTGTTTTTGTTGGTGTGTTTGTCAGGTTTAATGGTAGAGTGAATGTATTTGAACCTCGGTTTAAATTCATGGAACCCATTAACATTAGGATGTATTATGGTGGCCATTTTATGACTAAGAAAAACATTACAACTTACGAGAAAAAACCAAATGTAGACCCAGCAAAGTATGGAATAGCATTGCGTGTGAATGTAGAGGAGGTTTGCTATTTTGAGTTTGCCTACTGGATTAAGTCTGACTTAGGCTTTAATGAGATTGGGGAAATTTGCTATAGGAACACTACTAGAAAACAGCTAATCAATGACGGAAATTTATCTGTCGGAATATCCTGAAATTCCGTCGGAACTGCCGGTTTCCGACGGAATTCTGTCGGAACGCGCCGTCGTATTACATTTTGTAGGAATTTCGCTTTATTCCGTCAGAAATTCCGTCGAAACTGACCGTTCCGACGGAACTGTGTATTCCGATGGACTTTTTTCATCGGAAAAGGTACTTCGGCCACCGGAAAGTCCGTCGGAAAATTCCGACGGAATACAAGTCCGTCAGAAAATTCCGACGAAAATTTCGTCGAAAAATGCTGTAAAAAAAAATAAAAAAAAACACCTCCCACCACCCCCCACCAGCCACCCCCACTAGCCACCCTAAACTAAACCCACCAACCCAGACCACCCCCACCCAGACGACCCACCCAACACACCCACCCAGACTACCCCCTGCCACCACCAAACCCACGTACTTCACCCACCCCACCTAACCCTAACCAAACCACCCCCAGATAGACCACCCCCACCCACCACCACACCCACAAATCGAACCCCCCCACCTAACCCTAACCAAACCGAACACCCTAACTCAGCAGGACCAACAAAGCACCGATTTCAACACCCCCACCTAACCCTAACCAAACCACCCCCACCACCAGCCACCACCACCCCACCCAACCAAAACCCTAACCCTCCCGGAAAAACGAAAAAAAAATACAAACAAAACAGTTATAATTCAAAATTCACCGAATTCGTACACAAAAAAAAATTACAAACACAAAAACATACCTTAAAACTTGAATTGAGTTCGAGTTTGGTTTATTAAGGCCAAATTTGACCATGAAAAGTCTAGATCTACACTTTTCATGGTCAAATTTGACAAAAAAACCATTAATTTACCGTAGACGAAGGAGAAGGGGCGAGGAAGGAGGAAGGGGTGAGGAAGGAGAAAGGGGAAGGAGAAAAGGGGTGAGGAAGGAGAAGGAAGAGAAGGAGGAGGAGAGAGAAAGAAGAGAAAGAGGAGGAGAGAGAAAGCGAAAATCTGAAGGAAGAGGCGGAGGAATGAGGAGAGAAGGAGGGTTTTTTTTTATATATAAATATATTCCGACGGATTTTAATTCCGTCGGAAAAATTGTATATTCCGACAGATATTTTTACCGTCAGAACTTTCCAACGAATTTCCTACGGATTTTTAAAATTCGTCGGAATATCTGAATTTTCTGACGGAAATACATGTCCGTCGGAAACTGTCCGTCGGAAATCGGCCCATTTCTAGTAGTGGAAAAAGGGATGTTCTTTACACACTGGGAGGGCTAGAATAGAGGAAGATAAGGACATAGCAGAGTTCATTGAAGCATATGAGAAAGATGGATTTTATCACCTTTATGTTGTGCATGAAGACAAGGTGGATGATGTTAATAGGAGGTTACTTTATGGGCTAGGTGTCTCTTTATACACAGATAGTGAGAGCACAAGTGGGAGAGGCAGTGATATGACAAGCAATGGGGTTGGAGACTCATTAAATATTGAAGAGGGGGTCCACCAACACACAAAGTGTATGATTTCGAAACTAAAAACCCTAGATCTGAGTTTTCTAGCACTCAAAGTACATTGCACAAAACACTTTCAGAAACTGTTCTCCCCTCCAAACCATTTGATACAACCACAAGGCCAAAGCTTCCAATAATTTCAACGCACAAAAAACCACCCACCAGTTCATTGATATAAGTACCCCTTCCAATTCTACCTGCAACTTCCCTGTTCTTCCGGATGTCACTGTTCTTCCTGCATTGCTAGAAACCAACCCAGAACCAAACACCCAGAAGTTGATGGTAACTCAAAATGACACAACAAACCTGAGTGAGGCAGAACCAACTGGTGAATTAGTGCCTGCTGTGGGAATTGTTGAGGAGAATGTGGTGGGTGAGGACTATGAGGTGCAAGAAATTGAGGAAGATGATGCTGAATTAAGCAAAAATGATTATGAGGACAAAGATGATGATGATTTGTTTGATGAGTTTGTAGATCATGATATATAGGAGAGGGTTACTAGGAGTTTAGGGGGTCTGTCAAAGGATGTTGTGGAGGATGATGTTGAGCAGAATATTGAGGATGGTTTGCAGATTGGGAGTAATGAAGACATAGTGGATTCAAATGATGAAGTGGTCAGTGAGGTTGGTTCAGATGATAAGGGGCCAAAGTATCCTGAGTTCAACCCAGAGGTTGATTTTAAGGGCAAAGTGGTGTTGACTAAAGGCTTTAAGTTCCCAACCAATAAGTGCTTTAGGAGGGCTTTACAGTACCATGCTATTGACCATGGTTATGACTTTTACTTTCTCCATAACAACAACCAAAGAGTGAGTGCATCCTGTGCTCATAGATGTGGACGTCCTTGGAAGAGAGCAAGAATTTTGGAATGCAAATGCAATGCTAGAAGAAAGTGTAGGTTTATGATACATTGTAGGAAGTTAAAAGGTGAGGCAACTAGGCAAATTAAGAGTCTTAGGCTTAAGAATATATGTGGGCACCAACATAAGAACTCAAAGATTACTTCACAATACCTAGCTGATGACTGGAGGGATGACCCCACACGGAAGCTAGGTGCATTCATTAAAAGGGCAAGAAGAGAGTGTAAAGTTGAAATAGGCTACTACTTAGCATGGTATGCTAGGCAAAGGGCATTCAAGATGATTTTTGGGGATGCAGCTTTGGAATATGAGAAGGTTTGGGATTATGCAGCTGCCATTTTGAAGTATAACCCAGGAAGTACATCTGTTGTGAAGGTAGATGGAGTGCTTAACCCCCAACCTATTTTCCAGGGGTTATATGTGTGCTTGCAAGCCTGCAAGTAGGGATTCATGGCAGGATGTAGACCAATCTTGGGAGTGGATGGTGCTCACTTGAAGGCGGCTTATCCAGGTATTCTACTGACAGTTGTGGGGAAAGATGGCAACAACAACACAGTAGCATGGGCAGTTTTTGGAGTTGCTAAGAAAGGACATAGCAACAGTTGCAGACTATGTCACTTGGGTTCATAAAGCTGATGAACTCACTTACATGAGTGATAGGAAAAAGGTATTTGTATTGCTTATAACTTAGTTCATTTGTCAAACCAAACTCACCTATTGTATGCTTATTGCTTACTCTGAACATATGACACATGGCCTATTGGATGCATTTGCTACAGTTATGCCTGATGCAGACACTAGGTACTTCTGCAGGCACATTTGGAGCAACTTCAAGAACAAATTCCCTGGGACCGTCTACAAAGAGCACTTTTGGAAAGCTACAAGGTCAACCACAGAGGTACAACATATTTGACATGCCTTTGACTTTTGGAAAGAGCACATTTGATTGCTTATATATGCAACATATTTGACATGTTTTTGACTTTTGTGTACTTTTGGTTATGTATAGCCATAGCATCACTTCAAGCAGCATATGCAAGAGATCAAAAAGCTAAGTGTAGAAGCCTTTAACTACTTACAAGCCATTCCACCTGCTCATTGGTCAAGACACAAATTCAGCTACTTCTCCAAGTCAGGTATGCTCTTGAACAATTGTTGTGAGAGCTTTAACAATGTTCTCAAAGAAGCTAGAACCAAGCCTATTCTGCAGTTGATGGAGTGGGTAAGAAGATATGTAATGGGAAGGTTTTTTGCAAAAAAGGAAGGGCTAAAATCTTTCGCTGGTGTGATCATGCCAACTATTCTGAAAATGGTGCATAGAGGTCTGCAACGAGTGTCCAACATGAGAGTAAGTCAAGCTGACTTAATGGAGTTTGAAGTTGATGACTCAGAAGACACTTATGTTGTCAATTTGGAAACCAAAGCTTGTAGCTGCAACAGATGGACACTTATGGGGTTCCTTGCTGGTATGCACTTGCCTGTATTCAATTGAGAAGGCTTGACATTGAGAACTTCATCCACCCAGCTTATCATGTGGAGACCTACACCAAGACATATGCTCCAACTTTTAAAGCAATGCTAGGTCATCATCAGCAGTGGGAAGTCACTCCTTATCCCAGGCCATTACCTCCTGTACACAGAAACTTACCTGGAAGGCCTTCAAGTAAGAAGAGGAAGAATGAAGCTGGAGAAGATAAAGAGAGGAAGAATGTCAAGAGGGCAAAGGTGCAAAATAAATGCTCTAATTGTGGTGGGTTGGGGCATTACAAGAATAAGTGTCCAAGCCCACCTATTGATAAGCCAAAGAGGAAGCCTGGAAGACCAAAGAAAGTTGCAGCAGCAGGGCAAGCAGTAGCAGGCCAAGCAGCAGGAGCTACCTCATCACAACAACTGAGTCAATCAGCCCAAGCTTCACAACACTCCATCTCATTGTTTGCACCCTAACATGGAACCCAGCAAGCTCATTGAATGATGCCAGGAAATATGTGATGTTTATTTTGAACAAGTTAATCAAACTTTTAATGTCAGGATATATATATATATATATATATATATATATATATATATATATATATATATATATATATATATAAATATATATATATATATATATATATATATATATATATATATATATATATATATATATATATATACACTGTATGTATTCAAAGTTGCTTCTGACAACTAATCTTTTGAAAAACAATTGGTGTACTTGTTTTTTACACCAATTTATGTTATGGTATTTATGTTTTAACCAATTTCATTGCTTCAATTTCTCTTACATTGTGTGCATGTTATTGTTGCTTCAACATTTGTGACAGTATTTAGAAATTAAAACATGCAGTGAGTAAACAAGATGGCACAAAAAGAGTAGATACCAAATTAGATTTCATTTACAAGGGTCCAAAATACACAAAATATTTAGCACATTCTACTTAGCTAAAATCCCCCCACATACTTAGCTTAAACCCCTACATACTTACCAATCTAAGCAATCTACTACCTGAAGCAAACTAATCACCAAAACATCCCACAACCTTAGCATTCTACCTAACTAAACATTTTCATCAACACCACACTAACAATCACAGAAACAACAACACATATGCCAACTTGCTTAAACCCCCCTGCTGCATTTCTGGTAAGAGCCTCTTTGCATTCCCCTTTGAAGATTGTTGATCTTTTAGGCAAGCAAGCCTAGCCTTGACAATAGTCAACTTGGTTGCCCTCTGGTGCCTCTCAGCTAGTAGAACATTAATCACTTCACGTTGCCACTCCGTCTGCTCCTCATCCAGCCATTTGAACGTGTTGCAACCTCGTTCTCCAGCGTCGTGGTTGTACTTTTTGCAAGCCTCGAACCTTCTTCTTGGATTTTCATGAGTTTAGGAATGTCGCTTTGCACAAGGAAAGCCACATGCACAATTCACCATTTTACCTTCAAATTTACCGGCAACAACAGAGGAATTAGTGAAGAGCAAAAAACACACAATAGAAGAATTAGAGAAGAAAAGTACGATGGAGCGCTACGATGGTGAATTCATCACTACATTTGTTGAAGAAATAGATGAAGAACCCTAATTTACCTTTCAATTGCTCTGATTTGGGTGGAGATTTGCCTTAATTTTTGTTGGAGTGATTTGGGGAGGCTTGCCCTAGAATATTTATAGAAGGAAAATTTGGGAGCCAAACAAAAAAGGAGGGAAATTTATCCAACTGTAGGCTACAAGTAGGAAAACTCATGGGTCAACGCCTGAAATTGGGAATCAATGCCAGAAAAGAGAGCCCAGGTTTCATTAAACAAAAAAAGTGATCGTGGTGGTTTTTTTAAACAAAGAATCGTGTAAAATGTTTTTTCTTGCAAAATGAGGCATTTAAAAGGTTTTTTTTGACAATTTTTTTTTTAAAAATAATCTTAATTGATTATTTAAGATTAACTTTAATGATTACAATAAATTATTACTATTAATCGATGGTAGTTAGACAAAGAAATAAACAGCACAGAATCACGTCAGAAATGCCATTTTCAGATTTTCTAATTTGTTAAAATAATGTGACCTTTAGAAAATGATATTTGAACCTTATTATCCAGTACTTAGTCTACCCACCAACTCACCAATGGTTTCTTTCCTCTTCTCTTCTTCCTTCCTTTTAATATAAATTATAGTCATCAATCATTTTCTCTCTCTAAAAATATTTGACAGCTAAAATATCCAAGATCAAATAATGGTTATGGAGAAAAGCCACAGTAGAAAGAATCAACACCGAGAAAAACTTCTCTTGAAGTTGGAGGATGGCGCCACTAATGATGTTTATAACGACGGTGGCGCCACCCCCGTTCTTTTACTTAGCGTTTTCATTGCCGTTTGTGGCTCTCTCGTTTGCGGTTGTGCTGTAAGTTGTTTTTCGGTTATGCTGTAAGTTGTTTTTCTTTTTGTACTCTTTTATTTTTTGTCCGTGGTACAGGATCACCGCGTCATTTAGGATCGGTCGCTTTATATGTTAACCTTAAAATCACTTTCTATTTTCGCATATGTCACAAATTTTTATTTTTTATTTTTTAATTTCATAATAGTTGCAAAATACAGAGTACATCTCATTACTCATTAGGTGTTCGAAAAATTGTTAGTCAGGCCTATTTGGGATGATCAAATGAATTACTCAGTAGTAATTTCAAATTAAATAGGCGCCGTAATAAATGATGGTAATGATAAAAAAAAAATAAAAAAAAAAATATTACTCCGTATTACGTCAATATCGATAAAATTTTTCTGACAGGTGAATTTCTTTTTAATCAGTTTTAATTACAACTTGTCAACTTGGGAATCATTAAGCAAATTTTCTGGTTTACGTTGTTGATCTTCATGTAGTTCGTACGTTGCACGTCTAGCCAAAATTAATACGAAGAATAAGTAATTAACATTGATTAATATTCTGATATATCTGGAGCCACTGGATGTAATGTTTAACCATATTGCTGTCTTTTTAGCAAATTAGAATAAGCCCATTGATTATAAAATAGAAAATCAACTGCAGGCTGCTTATGTTATGTTATGCCCATGATTGTCATCATGTCATGCATTTAAGTCAAATTGAAATATTTAATAATAATAGTAATTAATAACAGTTGAGAGTTGAAAATTGACAGAGTTTATCTTTTTTCAATTTCATGGATTAAATCATTAGATTATTACATGCAAATATTAAAATTAAAAAAAAAAAGGTCCAATGGTCCCTGTTCTCTTCGAGTGGTACTTTGAATGGTTGTGGCCGTGTATGACCTAAGATGGTACATTAAATGAGTTTAGTAAATAGTAATATTATATATTCGATGGTTGTGAGAGACTAACAATTGGGCACAATTTTGTAACACAGTTTTATGTGTTGGGTTACTTTCAATATATAGAATCTCAAAATTGATAAGCAGGATAATTAGTTGGCTAATCTAGTTTTTCGCTATTTGTTATGCATAGTTGGGCTATAGCTCCCCTGTACAGTCTGGAATCATTGCTGACTTGAAACTCTCAACAGCAGATGTAAGTTGCTTTGTTTATGCTTTCTAATCTTATTATGGAGTACTTTGCATATCTTAGTTAGTCTTTTGTAAGTGTCACGGAGTAGCTTCTTGCCTTCTACTTTGATGGCCTTATGTTTTTCTGCAGTATTCCCTCTTTGGATCAATGTTGACTGTTGGAGGTTTGTTAGGTTCACTAGTCTGTGGTAAACTTACAGACTACTTTGGTCGTCGAGGAGTAAGTTCTTGTTCTTTTTAACCTTTTTCGAGCATGATTAGTATTCAAATGGAGCTTACACTAATCAATCTTTGTTATTTTTGGTGCAGACTATGGGTTTATCTGACATACTCTTCCTCACTGGATGGGTTGCAATCGCATTTTCTAAGGTTTTTCCCTAGACATTTAATTAAGGATAAATTTTTCGAGATGTTAATAGTTGCTAAATTTCTTCTCTCTAAATCCGACTTTCTGTTGGTATAAATTTGAAGGATGCTTGGTCACTTGATGTTGGTAGACTATCTGTGGGTTGTGCTATGGGGCTTACTGTTTATGTGGTAATTGTTTCTGGAACACATGTTTTTAATACTTTTATGACTTAGTTGTTATTCAAACTAAGTTGAATACTGAGATTACATACTGATTAAGCAAAACATTTGCCACAACAGGTTCCAGTGTACATTGCAGAAATTACACCAAGAAATCTTCGCGGTGGATCTGTGCTTCTTCATCAGGTTAAGATAAAGCACTTACAGTCCAATACTTCTTACGATTAATAAAAATAAAAGTCATAAGTTCTAATATATGCCCTCATATTTCAGTTGATGTTATGCTGCGGAATAGCTCTAGCTTACATCTTGGGACTTTTAGCAAATTGGCGCGTCTTATCTTTGATTGGTAATTTCATTATTTCTGTTATCTTGTTTCTTTCAATCTTTATTACTTACATTGTAATGGCCATTTATATATCCAAGCTTCATCAAAACAATATTTGTTAATATCAAGCATAAACTGTTTCAGGTGCTGTTCCGTGCATCATACAGTTTTTGGGCTTATTCTTCATTCCAGAGTCTCCTAGGTGGTTGGTAAGTCACAATCAGATTCTTTTTAGTGCGTAATTGATTAGTTACAGCAGGTTAAAGGCATAAAAATTTGGAAATTAAGCTGTGCAACCCCTGTTCTTGCAGGTAAAGGTTGGTCATGAAAAAGGTTGTGAGTCTACTTTACGAAGACTTAGGGGAAAGAACTTCGATATAGCTCACGAAGCAGCTCAAATCAAAGTAATATACATTCTTCAAAATAGTATCAGAGGACTTAAACTACTTGATTTAAGGAAGATTTGTGTAAAAGGACTTTTAAGTGGTTGATTTTGTTTAAAAGCACCTTTTAAGTGAAAAGTTGTGAAAAATGACCTTTTAAGTTGTATTATGTTGTGCGGGGGTACTAGGCTGGGTTTTCCGGGTGGTCAACAGTGGAGCTCTGACGTTGACTCTCACGTGGAGATCACGTGACTTCGGAAAAAAAGGCCACACGTTTTTTTTCCCTTTCCCTTCAAATTTCCCTCCTTTTCGAATTACCCCTTTCATTTTTTCCCCTTTCATACTTCCTAAAAAAACGTGTGGGCTTTTTTTTAAAAAGTCACGTGACTCCCACATGAGAGTCAACGCCGCAGCTCCACCGTTGACCACCCGAAAAACTCAGCCCAGTACCCCCTCACAATATAATACAACTTAAAAGGTCTTTTTTCACAAATTTTCACTTAAAAGGTCCTTTTAAACAAAATCGACCACTTAAAAGGTTCTTTTACACAAATTTTCCTTGATTTAATTGCATAAGTGCATGTAAGATTTAAGCATTAAATATCTTGCAGGACTGTGCTGAAACTATTGATCAAGTCTCGCAAGATAGCTTCTTCGACGTGTTCCAAATGAAGTATGCTTTTGCACTTACAATAAGTCTTGGGCTCATGGCACTAGCATCATTTGGTGGAACGAATGGGATTTTGTTCTATGCAACTACAACATTTGAATCAGCCGGGGTTTCAGGCAAATTGGGTACCATTGCAATGGCTCTCATCCAGGTAAAATAGGATATTTTCAGGACAATGAGCATTATCAGTGATGAAATATAAAATACTCTCCTTTCTTCTGCTAAAAGTATTTATTCTGCTATTAAACTCTGCAGCTTCCCCCTACTTTTCTTGGTGTATTTTTGATGGATAAAAGTGGAAGACGACCACTTCTACTGGTGAGTATGCTATGTGATGTAACATGTAGCTAACACTTCGTAGTATTCATCTTGCGTGTCCTTGGAAGGTGTTTGACCGAGGTCTGTTGTTGTTGTTGTTATAGTTTTCTGTTACTGGAATGGGAACAGCTTGTCTATCAGTGGCGCTGTCTTTCTTGATGAAGGTTTGTGTCAATGCATTACATGCTTTCTTACATAGTATCTGCAAACTTTAAACTTTTTTCTTATTGATTATAGCTCTTTGGTTCTTCTTTCTTAGCTGAATTAACTTATTTGTTGTTTGTGTGTGTGTGCGCGTTTGTTTTCTGTGCAGGATTATGGATGGATGCCACACTTCAGTCCCTATTTGGCCCTATTTGGCATCCTGGTAAATCAAATTCCTCAACGCAAAAGCTAAACTTGATCCGAAATTGCATGACCTGATGTTAACCTGATTCAGAACTGATCAAAAAACAGTTTGACTAATGCTCGGTTTCATGATTCTACTACAGATTTTCTCAGCAACATTCCCTGTAGGAATGGGAGGGATACCATTTATTATAATGTCAGAGGTAGACATGCTTCTCTTCTTGGTTTCTTTAGTTTCCTACATTTGTTTCCTAAGTTATTGCAACAGAGTTTCTGAACTACTAGTATGTTATTGCAGATATTTCCAATCAACGTAAAAGGGGCTGCTGGAAGTCTAGCGACTATAGTCAGCTGGTCGAGTGCTTGGGTTGTCTCCTACTCATTTAACTTCATGATGGATTGGAGTTCATCAGGTGAACATTCTTTGCTCGGCTTTTTCGAAATAAAGACTACATCACATGATCACCTCAATTGACTGTTTAAAAACTCTAAAACACTAGTGTCTATTTCCAGAGTTTTGTGCCTATAAACATTGTCCAGCTAACCTATAAAAATTGCTACTATTGTTAGAATTAAAAAACGAGACTCCACGTATAGTAAAACCCTGCAAAATTGACTCGACTTGAATGAATCGACCCATACCTAAATTTCACCAAAAATTGATTGACTTGAATGGTCTGACAAGAAAAAATTATACTTGTAGTTGAGAAACTTGAGATCAATCAATTTATAATTACACATTGAGAGAAATCTAACCAGATTCATATGAGTATATATATTTTTATTCTTATATGTAATTCTGTAAATCGCATAAGCTAAACAAAATAGAGTTTGCAAACAATGACAGTGTCAAAAATCAAAATGTGTCAAGACTGTCAACTAATCGAATGTAAAGAAATGCACCGTACAGAGTAGTTTACTGTTTATAAATGCCACGCAAAAGGATCTGCAAGGCTGCAACTAATTGTCTATGATCTACCTAGTGGAGCCCATTGGCCCACTATCTTTAAAGCTACTCTTGGGCCCAATTCTCTTGATACTCATTGCTGACACTTAGAAGTCTGGCCCATATGGTCTTCTTGTCCAGCAATCTACACAGTGCCCATAGTACTAGTACGGTTATTAACCAAACAAGCAAAGGGACCTTCAACCAAGGTCATTTAGGGCCTGAATACCCGTAAATTATTGTAATGTAATAAATTAGTTAATGAATTTAAATAATCTATATCTACTTATAAGGGGACATAGTGATTAGTTTTGAGCGAAAGGTAAAAGAATCAAATCTTAACCCCTTTAATATTTTCGATCAAGATCTGCCATTGTAAACAAGCACTTAATATAATACGTAATCCCTAACGCGACATATTTGATTTACAGGCACATTCTTCATATTTACAAGCATCAATGTATTGGCTTTGGTCTTTGTGGCGAAACTTGTTCCGGAGACAAAGGGACGTACATTGGAGGAAATACAGGAATCACTCACTCATACTCTGTATTAGAAATGTACAAGATATATATAGGAGAATATACATGTACAATCAAATAAAAAGGGCTGCTAGGACGAATTTGGGGATTGATTGTGACTTGTGGAAGGTTGTTAGGGTGTATGTGCTAGGAATTTGGTATGCATTGAAGAAATGAACATGTTATGCCTTAAATATGTATTAGTTTGTACCTGATGCATCTATTTCTTGTTGTTTCTCTTCTTTTTAGCTAAATCCTGTAATTACAAATGCATTCAGTGATGAATTTATCTATTAATGAAAATATCAATTTTTTTTTTATGTGATGAAAGTCTTATTTTATACCTGCAATGCTTGACTTGAAATGGTGTTGGTGTTTTGGCTTTGTTGTTGGCTTGACATAGGGTATATTGATCCTGACTGAAGGAGTACACTGTTTTCTCTCCTTCAATGTCAATGTAGAAGGCCCTTGTGGTTGTTGTTGAGAGGGTCTTTGATGGTTTGGGACCTCCTGTAAAAAAAAAAAAAAAAAAAAAAAAAAAAAAAAAAAAGAAGTTAGTCGTATGAATAATTTGCAAAAAATAGCAAATGCAGATGAATAAGTGAGAGATACTTATTGATGCAACTCTTTGATAGCCATTAGGGTATGTGTAGACCCCAAATCCTCTCATATGCATGGGAACAGATGTATTAGTTGCATCTGCAGGAGTTGCTGGCACGTCTGTTGTGGGTGTGTGTTGGCTTTCTTTTCTTGGAGCATTCTTTGCCGCCCTTTTTGTTATGGGCCTTCAAGCCACATAAGCTGCAAGTCTGAGGATTTCCTGTTTTCCTCAGCTTACCAGTAGTTGTGGTCTCCCCAGCTTGATATCTCCTCTTTGCCTTAGGTCTGCCTTGCACCTTTTTCAATTTAGGTGGGATCACAAGGGAATTAGCTTGTGGTCATTCTTGAGGACCATTCAAAGGCTCTAGCAGAAGTCATATGCTTTCATGTACTTCTCCTTACTAAAACATTCATTGACATAGTGTTCTGGTCGGTCCACCTTATTCCAAATAGCATGTAATACCCTGGAAATTTCTTTCCCTTAAAATACTCTTTTTACTCTACATAAAACCCTTTTTAGGAAATAACCAAAATATTACCGCCACCGTGATAACGGCTAAGGCAAATTTTTAAAGTCACACAGCGGAAGTCTAAAAATAAAAACCAACTTTTAAAAATTAAAACCCGAGTTTACAACCTCAAAACAAATGTAAAATAAAACATTCACAAGTTGGAACCAATTCAAACATGGCCCTTCTTAAAACCAATTAAAAACAAACATAATAATGTTAGTCTATAACAAATCAATAATTCAAAAATATTAAAACTAAGAAACATAACAAGTAACTCTCTGCACTCTATCCCATCATGCTCTTCATGCTTCAAGTACCTGTTACTTTCTCTTTACTCAACTCTCTACTCACCATATAAATGGGTCATAGTAGGGTCAATCCAAAGGAAAGCCAAACACAAACACAAAAGTACGAATCAGCAAAACTGAGTACATATGCACCACACTAACATGAATATCCTAACATCAAAATAAAAAATAATTAGAACATGCCCGCCGCACAATCACAAGTCAACTTACCTTTGACTCATAAATAGCAATATTAATTATTAATAATAATTTTGGATTACACATCGAACGGGTTTCCTTCCTTGAAAATAGCCGCCCATTTAAATATGGAGCTTCCAATCAGGGAGCTACCCCAATTGGCACCTACTATGTCACCTTGTAACGAAATTCCAGCGCATTAATAATAAAAGAAAGTACAGCGTCCTGTACCCCTATAGAAGCTATGGTTAAATATAAAACCCCATAACTCCCCCCATATATTCATACTCAAGGTATATACGTTCCAAGAGTTTTGGTGCGTATCCTCTTACACTTTACGTGATTTACCAATTTAACTTGTGATGACTCAAACCAATTAATCAAGAACAAACATAAAAGCAATCAATTCATATTTCCAATTCTTGAATTAATTAGTGAGCACATACTATTTATTTTAATTAAAGTTCCTTGCCTAGTTTTGTGCACAAAATTGCACAATTATTAACTTCGTGCATAAAATACACTTATAAACTTCCTTGATTCAATCTCAACTTATGTGAGTGAGTAATAAACTAACTTCCTTGACTCAACTCCAATAATAAATGGGTGAGAAATAAACTCATGAATCATACTCAATAATTCTAACTTTAGCTCTTTAATTCATATATAAGTCTTGCTTATTAAATACATGCCTTCTTGATACTTGAAAATAAAACATACTTCCATTATTCATACATATTCAACTTGTATCATACCTCAAATAACATATTCACATGCTTGCATAACAATTCATGATCAACCAACATCAATTCCAAGCATATAATCAACCAAACATGCTACTAATTCATCACTTAAATTATACTTTATAATCCTAGCATGATACTACGCATTACACATTATTCTTGTGCACATATGTACCTTGAAAAACGCCTAAACTCGGCCACACTCGCTAGAAATCACCTAGCTCGAAGCTTCCTACAAATAAGAATGCATAACTATAATTAATCTACTATTCTCACAAATTTCCAGCAACTATAATACACTTTAAAACATACTAATCAACCCAATTTATTTAATGACATAAAAGCCATAAAACCTTTTCTTTAAGTGGCTACCTCAAATCCTTTCAAAAAGACTTAATTTTTAAGACTTAAATAAAATTTCAGCATATTTATTTAATATAAAACATCACTAATAGACAAGGAAATCATATTTAAATCACCAAAACCTTTTTCCCTTTTATGCGTAATCAAACCCTAACTCAATAATTAAAAAGTAGAGTGCATAGATAAATTTCAGCATTAATTGAGGGTTTTAAACTCATTAAAAACATGTTTAAATCACTAATTAAACAACAACAACAACCTAGGATCAAACCCTAACCATAAACATTAAATTCCCAAATTCTAGGGTTTGTAAATTGGGGTTTTTGATTGAATAAAAATCTGAAAATTATATAAAGAATTTAACAACATCAAATACCCAAAATCAAAACCAAAGCATAATCAAAATCATGCTTTAAATTAATAAAAACAACAGAATTAAATTAGGAAGAGAAAAGAGTTTTTTTTTTTTTTTTTAGTAATAATACCAAACCACAAAAACAAAAGGAGAGAAAAGGAGGGGTTGGTCGGCGGTGCGCCGACTGCTGCTGGCCTCCAGTGGCTGCCGGCATGAGGGGAGGAGAAGAGGGAGAGAAAGTCTAGGGAAAGAGGAAAAAAAAGAGGAAAAAGAAAGGAGAAAAAGGCGAGAGAAAATAAAGAGAAAACTTTTGGGATTTTTGTGAAATCTGACAATAATGATTTTAGAGTGAAAAATCTTGAGGTTTTGAAGTATTTATACTCCCCTTTTAAAACAAAAACTCGTAATTACAAAACTGTCATTACTCCCCCTTGACTTCTTCCTTTGGGGCCAACTTGTTGGGCTCTTAAGTGTCCTTAATTTCCCAACATTTTGATCCAATCAATTAAATAAAGATGACCCAATTCAAAACACTTTTATTGCCTCAATTAATGACTCATATAATTTTATGCACACTTACATAATATTTAAATAATTAATTTCTTTTAAAATGAAATGAATCATTTTAATCTATAAAAATAAATAATTTATATATATATAAATATTATAAAAATACGGAGTATTACATAGCAACCACATCATGCTTGCAGGGAATGCCACTAACTTAATTGCCAAGCATTGCAGCTGCAAGTCCTGTCCTGTAATTTAACCCCTCCCTGTCCTGTGTGGCACCTTGTCTTACCCCATAGCAGTAGGCCCCATCCCAGAAAGCATTCCAACCCCTAGCCCAAATCTTGTTCTTTTCTAATCTCTGTTGTATCCTTGGGCACAACATGATTGATTTCTTTCCAATCTCATCTCTTTTTTTGTGTAGTCTTTCCATTAGCCCCTCCCTGATGTCCTCAAGCATTGTAATGATTGGCTTATGCCTAGAGGTCAAAATGTAGGCATTAAAAACCTCACTCATGTTGTTATCAACACTATCACAACATGACATTAGACTGTAGAAAGTCCGGCACCATTTCTTGTAATTTCTTTTCAACAAATCTTCAGCAGCATCTGCAGAAATGGCTATCATCACTTCAATATTTTTTAAAAATTCATTCTCAGTGCTACTTTTTGTTGTTATCCAAAATTGTTTTCCGAATTCAAGGCCCCCACCAAAAACCCCTATGAAGTTGCAGTACACATGCCTAGCACACACCCTGGTTTCAGCTTCTGGGAACACACCAAACACTACTGCTAGCAACCCCTTCTGCTGGTCAGACATGAATGTGTAATCAGCCCCTGTAGTTGTCTCCAAATCATTAGCAAGTAGAGACAGGAACCATGTCCAACTTTCAGTGCTCTTTAGGGAAAACATTTGGTTGTTTTCATCCCTCCCTACAGCAACAAGTAGTTGCCCCCCAAAAGGGTCTTTAAGGAAGCAGCCATCTAGGGAGATAAAGGGCCTATAACAAGCCTTAAACCCTTTTTTCAGTGCTTCAAAACACAAATACAATCTCTCAAAAACAATAGCACTCATTTGCAACTTAACTGTATTCCCTCTGTAACTCCTTAAAATTTCTGCAGCATACCTAGGAAGTAAAGCATATTGCTCCAAGTATTCACCAATAATCAGGGCCTGACCCTTCTTCCTAGCCCTGTAAGCAAAGAACTTGCTCACCCTAATTCCTTTTTCCACACATATTGTCTCCTTGATATCATGTAATTTCATGTAGGGGTTTACTCTAAACCAATTTGCATAATTGGTAGCAATCCAAGTAGATGTCATTCTTTTCACTTTTGCTGCCCTGCCACAAGTGTGCTCTTCTACGTGAGATTTGACAACAATATTTCTTTTGTCTTTGTCCCATGAATCCCATATTTTCCAAGGGCAACCTTTGTCATGCTGCCTACACTTAGCACCCACCCTGTTAGGATCATTTCTGTAATACTGTATGTTCCTCCCAGACCCCAATGCTGTAGTTAGTCAAATTAAAGCTTTTCTGAACATCACGACATTCTCAAATGGTTTACTTAAAAAGAAATCAGATTAAGTTTTCTCACATGCCCTCACTTCTCTTGCCTTTTTCCCTTTTTTAGGTGCAATGAGGTAACCATGATCCTCTTCATCTTTAGAATCACTAGGACTATCTTCATCACTCAACCCTTCCCAATCATCTCCAAACATGTTCATTTCTTTTCCTTTAGAATCTGCAATCCTT